TAATAATAACCTTCTGCTCCATCATAAAATACACTGACATCTGTAAATTATAAAATGTGCACATCAGCACTTGTTAAGCATGAATATATTTGCATGCTCTGTGGAATCAGTTATTTTTGATGGCACAGTGGTTGCAGGTGAGGAATAATATATAATCAATAGTGACCAACCTAACCACCTGATCCCGTTAGTCGCCTCATACGACAAGCAGTCACCGTTTACGGCAAGCATGGGTTCCCGACGACCTATTCTACCCCGGTGTTGTGAGTGAGTGAGTGAGTATGGTTTAACGCCGCTTTTAGCAATATTCAAGCAATAACATGGTGGGGAATACCGGAAAATGGGCTTCACACTTTGTACCCATGTGGGGAATTGAACCTGGGTCTTTGGTGTTATGAGCCATTGCTTTAACCACTAGGCTACCCCACTGTCCCCACTGTTGAGTGAGTGAGTGCTGTTTTTACATATTGTTTCAGTATACACTTCAGAATTTCCATCCTTTGGGAGCATTGAAACCAGATCATTTTCAAACCCAGTTGTTCACGTATGAGTCAAACACTGCCACAGAGGAGCTACTCTCCCTACACAATTACCCAATACTTAGCACATGTCTGCTGCACTGTCGTATTCTCATACTCATGTTTGTGTGTGTGTACTGGTCTGGACTAATGCCGACTTTATAGTGCTTAGTCCACTGAGATACAATGCTGCAGTTTAACATGTATACCCTACTCAGACACTGTGAGTACAATGACTCCAAGCCCACCAGTCCTTGTTTTTTGCCCCAAAATGCCGAGAGCCAGTCAAGGTAACAACAAGTACCATCTTTTCACATCTTTTGGTATGACACGGCTGGAGATTGAACCCCCGACCTTCTTCTCTCTGGGCGGACTCTACCACTAGACCCGGGAGGCGGTCCAACATACAGAAGTGGGTCCACCACACAGAAGTGGGTCCACCACACAGAAGTTGTCACATCATCACTTTCCCATCCTGTGTGTGAACCAGCATCAGGTGGGCCTGGAGGACAATTCATGTACATTCGCAGCTACAAACAAACATCAAGTTTCCCATCCATCATGTTGTAAAGAAAAGCAACGCGGGGACACGTCATCCTCCCTGCATGTTCAATTATCCCTAAATCTATCAAGGAGATCTGTATACCCCGAGTTGTGCTGACTCCAGGTAAACATGTTGTTGTTGTTGTATTGTTGTTTGCTGTTTAATGCTTGTTTAAGTCTGAACCAGACAATCCAGTGATTGACATCAGGAGCATTGATCTAGGTAATTTGAATACAATGACATGCATCAGGCAAGTCAGCGAGCCTGACCACCCGATCCCATTAGTCATCTCTTATGACAAGCATGGGTGCTGAAGACCAAAAGAATCAGACAATGACCTAACAGGACACTGATGTACTGATGTTCCAACCCTTAAATCTTAGTCCTAGTCAATCATATTCTTATAATCTATGCATGCTCATTACACTGCAGGAGAAGTTTGGCAAGACCCGGGCTTCAGGCCAATGGTTCAACTTGCAGATCACATAACAAGTCCCCATGCATACCCTGTAGTAGAAATCAGCAAAGTCAACATGCTCCTGTATTCAGATTTCAACAGATACTGCCCAGGGGGTATACAAATTCTGGGGATATATATATATATTCAGTTATATCATGTTATCACATGCTTATCTGATCTCAGACCATGACAATAGAAAACATTTGACATTAAAAATTCAGAAGTCCTGGGTGTCCTAAAGGTAGAGGTTTTGGACACATTGTCCTCAATGTTGGACACGCCATCCTAGACTTCCCTCTACATGGGACACCACATCTTGACATAGCAAAAACATCCTCCACATTAGAGAAACTGTCCTCAGCTTGGTACAAACTGTCATAAACAATGGACATCTATTCCCTACATAGGACAAAATGTCCTCTGTACTGGACACCTTGTCATTGGCATAGGACAAAACAAGCTTAGAAACTAATTATTAACTTTCCTCGTTAGTCAGGATGATCTGCTTCAGAGATTACCATCTACCTAATGGTAACAAAGGTACCATCTTCCCGAGGCAAGGGAGTTAACTGACTACAAAAGTCAAGTTTCCACCCTTGCCAAACTAGGCTGGAATTACTGGGCTCGATCGTAGCGCCACCAGTGGCTATTACGAGTTATGTCCCTTCTATGCCTCTCTTATGGACCAATCTCGTGTTACTTGCATTTGCGTCAAACAAAATGGCAGCGGCCAGTTAAGACGATCTGATATCGATAATCAAGATCTATACTGTGATGAAACGGGTCTTACATCGCGAAGTGCATCAAATCACGTGAGTATCTTGAAAATGCTTTGGAAATCCTGCAATCGACCGAAATCTGCATGCCAGTTTACGAACCGGATTTCGATTTGGTTGGGTGATTTTGATTGGACTATGCATAGACTCATTAGTCCAGCCAAAATATAACTCCATAATACCAGCCTAGTTCGGCAAGGGTGAAAACTGGACTTTAAAAGTTAGTTAACTCCCTTGCCTCGAGAAGAGTGAGTGAGTGAGTGAGTTGGGTTTAACACCGCTTTTAACAGTATTCCAGTTATATCACGGCGTGTCAGCTTAATGTGGGAGGAAAGCCCGAAGCGATGCAGGTCTCAGACGTTTACCACTTCGGTGAAACCCACGAGCACGGGTATGGTGCTGACAAACCTAGAAACATAATCGGGGGCCTCGAGAAGATGAAGAGGTGCAGTCCATGAGGAAATATCACTGAGTCCTTCCTGAGTTTTACTAGTCTCTGACTAGCAGATGTATGTTTATTCTGAATGCTAAGGACTACAATGGCTAACATGGCTTACATTATCTGGTCCAGTTTCCCAGATGCCCAGATTAACAATGCATGGTGTTGTGGTCAATAATTCACTCCTTTCTAAGGTGTTAAGCCCAAGGTTTCACAAGTGATCACATCTGGCCTAATAAGGGTGTCGTCATGACAGACATGATATATCGGACTGCTGACAGAGAGGAAGCAACTTCGTTTCCACCTGACAAATGTCAATATTTTGAGTAAAAAGATTGAACTCACTCATTCAAAATTCATCCAGATTTCTCCTTGTATCATTGTTTAACTGGATGATGATTGAAATGGTGCATTTGGTTTAACAATTTTTCGGATTAGGAAGTGGAGTCATGTCAAGGAAGAGCAAAAATTATCACAATCATTTTCTTTCTGTCAAGATACTTCTGACGATGTCAAGCTGTCTGTAGCAGTCATCTGAACACTGCCCTGCCCCACAGCTATGCATGTCTAATGACAACGGAGTTCGGATCTGCTCCAGCTCCCATTGTATCATTTATACAACTGAAATAAATCTATCAATTGTATCAGTATGTATCTGGGTATGGGTCATTATTGTCAGCTGTCAACTGTCACAAATGTTGGAGATCACCCAAACGACTACATCCAACACCAGATCGGACATGACAAAAATTTGGCATACTTGTTGAGATGCGTCATTGATCACCATCATCCCCCCACCCAACCCCACCCCACCCCACAAGAAGACACCACATTGGCTGACCTGACTGCACGTGACTAACCCTGTTGACACACCTGCCGATGTGCAACTCCTGTCACCATACTAACGGCCCTTATTACGCAGATGGCACATCTGTTTAATTAACTGCACTCAAACATCATAAACAATGCAGGAAGGGTGTAAATAATGAACAGTAAACACATGTAAACAGTATGTGGGTCAATAGTGGTTCAATACTTCATCACAATCACTTATTAAGAACATACAACCCATCAATATATGACAAATATTATATAGATATATGTTTCTTTATATCTTACCAATTTGTTTTCAAACAGCCGAACAAGATTTCGTACAGAGCTTCGAGATCCTGTCCGGACCAAACTGACAAGACTTCTCTGCCGTTTTCTTGGTTTATCCTGAGACATACTCCGATCTCTTCGACTCCGAACTTCCTGAGATTTCGCACGTCGGGCATGGCTCTGGTTTCGAGTTCGACTTCTGGCCTCACGTGCACTTTTTATTTCTGGATCCTCACAGAAGGCCACTCTGCGCTCTTTCAACGACATTATTACAAATAGGAACTACTCACACCCAAATGGTCACACACTATGTAGCATCAACACTGTACCAAACTGGTTCAAACATCATCATTTAAATACTCCACTCGATTATTCCATAATGAAAATATGAAAATAGCAATCCAACAATTCTCCACATCGGTTATAACATGACTCCAGTGATGACAGGTACCTTGTTATCCTGGTTAATCCAATCAATAGAAGTTTTCTCCACATCGAAATACGCAGTGGGGAATCCCTGAGTACTCCACCAGTGTCTGACTGTAAGCATTGTATATCCACTGCTGTCCATGGGGAGTCCACATGCAGTCTGCCACACAACAGGTAACCGGCCACCTGAGTGAAGCCTGTCTCACACTGCTCCCAGAGGAGAGGGGGAGGGGGAGGGGGAGGGGGACAGGGAGGGGGTGCTGTCCATCTGTCTCACCCTTGGTCCAGCCCAGCAGGGGTCAGATTGTTCAATTTTTGTCTATCCTTGAACCTTACAAAAATTCCCAGTCTGTATACACATCAACACATGGGAATCATTTCGCAACAAAATCTAAATGTTCGAGAAATTCAGCAGTAGGGTTTCTGTAGGTAGAAACTCTAACCACCTGCTAGAAGATGCTCAGGCAGCAGTACTCATTATACCCAGTAATTAAAATCACCAGAGGAATTCACGGCAGCAGACGGGGAAACTTGTACAGAGCTGAGGCTGCCTAAGTGATTCCACCAGTTAGGCAAGGAGGTAGGGAAAAAAGTGAACACCAACCAAATATTCTAAACAGCAATCACATACTAATATATTCCAGCACATTTCTCACAAATCCTCCAGTTTCTGACAGAGGGGTACCATTACAAGTATGTAGCATAGTTCTGTAAAGTTCACAGTGTCACACGCTGATTCAAGAACAACATCAATGGCAGAAGCAGTCAGACAAGCCCATTCTCTCACTTCAAAGTAGCGAGTAGTCCGACATACCCCATCCACGTGGAGGCTGGCCCAATCTCACCTCCAGACTAGCATCCTAACACGCCTCAGGTAAAACTGACGGTGAGAAAATCTTAGATGTGTGTACACTCTGTCATAACTGCTGCAGTAATTGAGCCCCCTGATCAATAACCCCACACAATGGCTGTTGGTTATCTAGTAGCACGTAAGTAATCCAACTATATGCTCTCCACGTAAATCCTGCTTCCGTTCACGTTGCTAGCAGCATATCTGATCAATGCATCATATAAAGTTAAACTCACAAATCCCACAATACAACCAGCCAGCTAAAACTGCATACATCAGTTCACGGAACAGTCCAGGTATTGTTGTCACACTTCCGAGCCGACTACAAATCCTGGAAGCCACTTCTGACTTTCATCAGGTGGTTTGTAAGCTGAGATCCAACTTATGGATGTGCCGTTTGTTAAAAATGTTCCAAGGCGGTGTTCAAGCTACCTGCTGTTTACAATCACAAGCCTAATTGTTCTCTGTCACACAACTGGGTGTGCGTCTCTTAATGTTCTCAGCAAGGCCTCTTAATGTTCTCAGCAAGGCCGTACTATGACACTGTCACATTTCATTTCAGACAACAAGCAAAAGATGCTCAGAATTTCCCTTTCCATAAACCTCAACCACACAGGAAAGAAAAGACACTGGAGGCATTATGATCAAATATTTCGAAGGAAATGCAACTGTAGAGCATCATAGAAGGTTATTCATCCCTGCCAGCACTGAGAGTGTCCATGAGGTTTGTGCTGTGCCCGGCTTGTCAACGGAGAGCAGGGGTTGTGTTAACATGGGCTGACCTACCCGACACAGGTGAATTAGCTACTTTCCCGGGGAAAGACGCGCAGGGTGAAATGGCCTATTTGACAAGCAGTGTTTGCTGTAGCTGACCTTTTCTACTCCTTTCTACTCCTTCACCACTCTCCAAAAGGTAAGTGTCCAACTCAAACAAATTCACAACCCTTCACAAACCCACCTTCCAATCACTTGTGACTTTGAAAAGATTGCTGATACTTCCACTCTACCAGCCCGCGCCTAACATCCGTCCACTGCAGGGTCTGTGGGTAGTATATCAACAGATGAAATATCCACTTAGTGAACAGGAAGGATCCAGATTCCAAATCCATATCCTATGTCAACATCCTAGCTCATATTCAATATACAAGTTTGGTAAGAACTTAATTGGTGAGTACACCAACCACTCACTATATTGGCTCTATACAAATGTCCACATATCAAGTATCAGGACTCCTCCCATGCAGGGCTCCCCTTTCTCCCGATACTGTCATTAGGGTCCTGTATCATACAATCGCATTGTCACCAATAGCTTACTAAATCCATATCCCGTGGCAACTTTTAACAAGCTCCGGAGAGCCTACAGCAATTCTCATGAAAATCCCGACCTATAGAATTGAGAATTGGTTACTGGAATTTCGGACATGTGGATCACCTGTTTTACACGGGTGTGCTCAACATACCGGCGTGGCTTGTTACCGTTCTCTCTGTGTGGTCAGTCCAGCCATACAAGCCATATACTCCTGTGACCAGGGACTATAATCTCAATGTTTGTAATTCCAATCCTGAATTCCTGCGTGTCTGGAGAGAAAACATGTCCATCAACATTTCCAAACTCTCTCCCAAGGCTGTCATAATCCACATACGATAAAGTAGAATTTGTCCAAACACTACTCATTAACTAATAAGTATATGGCTGTTTGCCTCTAAGCACCACTGCGGTATAAACTTCTCAATTCAAGTATCCCTGCTACAGGATATGATACACTTCAGTGTATAACGCCTTATAAAATATTAGGTAATTCTCCTGGATGAACTTGACTACACTGCAGTATGCTTGGTCCAAGTGTTCATCCCAAGTTCTGTATCCGGTCTGACCAGGCAGGTATATCCTCAACAGCAAGATGCTGTATAATCCTTCACAGGATAATAGCCAACTACAGTCTGCCTATGCTCATTAACAAATTACTGTGATGTTGGCTAGGTAATGCTATCTGTGAGAATCCACATGGTTGGTTACCCCCTGATAAGTCCTCTCCCTGGAGGCATGGTGTTCAAGAGCTGCAATCATGGCTACTTTCGAGACTGATTCTTCATTCACATCACGACAAATGTCCAGAGTTCGAGTAATGCAAGTTAGAGGAGAAGATCACAGATTTCCCTGCTGTGTCTTTCTTCACATATATCTGCTGTCCATCAATCAGGGCCTCCTGTTAACTCTCACACCATCACAGCTCTGTAGCTTCTGGTAGTCCACCTCTGCTGCATATACTACTACCAGACCACTGTTGGTTAAACCATTTCTGTTATCTTGCCTCTCCCACTTCTGAACCCACTCCTTACCCCACTTCTGTCACTTCTTATCCCACTTCTGCTCTCCCACTTCTACCACCTCTTATCCCACTTTTGCTATTCCGTATCTACCTCCTCTTATCCCACTTCTGCTATTCCACGTCTACCATTTATCCCACTTCTGCTATTCCACATCTACCACTTATCCCACTTCTGCTATTCTGCCTCTATCACTTCTGACCCCACCTTTTTCCCCAAATCTCTCCAACCACATATACAACTATCAGAAACAATTTCCCCTCTCCTACAAATGGTCAGTTCCCAGCTGGTGTGGGCAGTATGGAAGGGCAGATGGGGCCATTACACCTCTGCTCAGGAGGTATAACGAGGCATATGTATGGAGCCAGGGTTTTATTGACAATAATCATTGGAAAGAAGCAGGCCCTCTGGAAGCTGGTCTGTCCGGAATTGTAAACATACTCTACAGGTTCAATCACATTTAGCATCGCTTGTCCACATGATTAGATTATCGCAGCATCCAACTAAATCAGAACCCAAGAATAATTACCATTAATACATTTTTCATGAATTTACAGGTTAATATCCCATACAGAATGTCAAACCTAATCCAATCCTATTCATACAAAGTCATAATTGAACCTGATAAACAGGTGCAATGAGGCAGGGGCTTATCAATAGACGAGAATCAGTCTATCATCAAAATACAACCCATCAACCTTATCAAACATCTTGAGTATGTCACTTCCATTCTATAAGATGCAATTAAAATCAGTTCTGCTCACTGAAGTGTACCAGCCTTAGAATACATTCAGCTCAATCATGGGAAAGTCAGATCGAATGTAGTCATGCCTCTCCTCTGAATACATGGATGTGTATTTTTGTGACAGGGATGAAAAGAATCCATGACAAACAGGGTCTAGATAGGCCTCAAATTGCACATCTATAAACACAATACTTCCATAGTTGGAGTGCACTGCACAGCTACCATATTCGACATAATAAGCGCCCAGGGCGCTCTCAAAATCAGAATTTTGGTGAAAAAGAACAGAGTTGAAAGATCGTAAAATTCTGTGGTTTATGCTGACAGCCTGAATTGTTTATATACCACAGATATATTTTTCGAGAATTTAATTTCCAATAATTAAGGATGCATATAACACACGTATTATACACGATCAAATAAGTCTTGTGTACATTGATCATTCGGAAGGGGTGCTCATTTGGATTGTTCACTTGCCAATATATTAGCAAATATCACCGTGGGCGTTTATTAGAGTGGGGCGTTATTATTGCGTCGAATACGGTAGTATATGAGAAAGATGAAATGACTAATTGGCAGGCAGTGGGAAGCTACACGACTGGCTGGGTTTAAATTGTTATGAGGCCATGTTTTCTCTGTGGTAGGTATGTAGAATGGACCAGGTTGTATACAGAGGTGGGTGGATGGAAGCCTTGTGTCCTAGATGTTTAGTTGAAGGGTCTGGTATCACTGATCACTCAGAGCTGCACCGTTCAGTCAACAGAACCATGATGCTAACATCTTTGTTTAGTTTCCAAGTTACCTGGTTTTACCCAGTATTATAATGAATGCGATGTTGTTGTTTATTTGTTTGTTGTTTAACGCCGCACCAACCAATACGATAAGCTTGGGTTGCTGAAGACCAATTCTAACCCAGAATCTTTACAAGAGAGGAAAAACGAGATGTAGTGTTTGTGCATCATTCGCTGAGTGAGTGAGTGAGTGAGTGAGTGAGTGAGTGAGTGAGTGAGTGAGTGAGTGAGTGAGTGAGTGAGTGAGTGAGTGAGTGAGTGAGAGTGAGTGAGTGGGGAAGTGTGGTGCCTAAATTTGATCTGTAAATAAAAATCTGTAAAGAAAATATAGGTATGCAAGCTGAAAAGGCTTCAAAACATTTAACATACCGGGTATATAAAATAAGTTAGGTAATGGCAAATTTACACAAATACACCGCTTCTCTGGAGCTCTGAAATACACATCAAGGTCCTGCCCAAGAATCACCACAAGGCCGCTTATGTAAATAATATCAGTACCACTCAACATATCAGCAATAGTGACAGTAGATGTTGGGATTCACAAGAATCTGTCTCCAAGTTTATCTGATACCATGTCTGAATAATACAATCAAGCCAGATACATAGGAGGGTGGTTATCCTGTTATGCTTCTTATCACATAGCACAAGACAAACTGACAGGTAAATGGACAAACTATCTGGACCCCACAATCCACAAGATGCCCACGGAGCTGGCACTCTGTCCTATCTTCCCACACTGATAGACTACAAACATGAGGCCAAAACACAAGTATATGTTTCCCGTTTCCCTGACACTAAACTGGAGCCCCTGAACCTTTTACCACAGCTTTTATCACCATGTTGGAATGGTATGCACATGCATTTCATACCACTAGCATAAGTTTGTAGATGGAGAAAGTTAGTAATGGGTATTGGGCTGACTTTTGTAATGCAATTTATTGCAATAATGATTCATGTATTGCAATACATACCACAATATATTGCCTGCATTCTTTCATCTGTTATGAACCTTAACAAAAAAAACTTTCCCCGCACATTTTTGACAACTTCATATATTGTTGGATGTTGCTGTGTTGCTGTGCATAAAAAGACACATTATATTCAGAAAACTGGTCACAAATAGTTTTGCTTTTTCGATCACAGGAAGCTTATTTCTTAATTTCATAATTTAACTCCAATTTTTTACTTATGTAAAATTTTAAAACAATATGAAGATATGAATGATTTTGAAAAATGCAATATACCTGTATTTTCCATATGTATTTGGGTGAATTGATACAGCAACTTCACGATATAATATCTATAGTGATCATGGTGATATGAATGATTACATTAAATCGGGTGGAAACATCTTGATTATAAATATTTCAGAGAAGTTTCGAAAGGAAAAGCTGACTGAAGACATGTTTTGAAGCTGCTATTGTAGTAGTGAACTTGAAACACTAATTACAACACATTTTGGGATATTTGACTGACAAGGCGTAAATAATGTATTTTAGCATGTGTATCATCTTGTATCGACACAGAAAAAAGTATATTGTGTATTGTGTATCTCATCATCTCATAAAACAATGCACTGGTATATAGTTTCACCCCCAATTCTTCTACGTACCCATTAGTATTTTATATCATGGTACACCAGCTATGGAGACCTAAAGAGGCTGAAAACCACAGAACAAGACAATCTCCTCGCTTCTCTGTCAATCACAAGAAAAACAGGATCACATTCTAAAATCAGATAACAATTCAACCGTAGCAGATAGTTTCTATAGATAAGTTATTTGAATTTCATGAGGGTTTCTGGGTTTGATAAGGAAGTCTGTGTTGTAACGTGTCTGTTTTAACCTCGTCACTTGCCCACTCAATCCAGGCAGTATTTCAGCTTCACAAGGCCGAGAAGCAGCATGACATGACACTCTATATTCAATACTAAAACAGGATCAGTTTACATGTGTAACATCTGCTACATGAAACAAAAAACAAAAACATCTACATCATGTTCAGTTCAGTTCAAACAGCATATTTAATTCACCATGCTCCTCTTTGAAGTTC